TGCAATAAAATTAAAATAAATTGCAGGTAGTGGTGGGACATCTACAGAAAGGAGCAGTATATCATCAAAAGAAACATTTTGCTTTCTCTATTGAATTGAATTGACAGTGGTATTCAAGGCTGACGTTTTTTTTTACACCAACTGCAACAACAGTACACTACTTCTTCTACTACACTGCGTACAAATGAGATATAGTATGGAACTGAGACACAGCTTGTTAACATGTTACATTATTCTGCTAAAGAGAAAAGAAATTTCAGTCAATCAGATTTGCCAGCACACAAGTAGTATGTTAGTAATCAACACAGTTCAGGTTTCCATGACTTTACATAGAATACACTTCGCTGTTTTGCCTTGACAGTGAGTGGGCTACATTGAGATGTGGCAGTGAAAAGTAGAAAAAATAAAGACACACAAGAAAACCTATGGAAACCACATGGAGCTAACACTGGTATTTGTCACATGTCAGCAAAGGCTCAGTAATTTGGCAGAGCATTAATCTAAGGTAAATGTTGTGTAAAGATTAGAAACTGCCTTGGAGCTTAATGTTAAATTATCTGACAGTTCGTGGTAGGAAATGAGTGTATAATGAGATCAACATGACGGTATAAGCCATCAGGAAAAACAAATCCCTCAGTACAAAATACCCTACTTCCTTCCATCATCATGACTAAATATGCACCATGGACTAGGCCAGCTTCCCGTGCATATGCAGAGTGAGTGATAAGTGCTCTAAATGCCTGAACTTTAAACCGTTCAAAAGGTCCAAATCCCTGCAATCTTCTCTAAAGCAGGTCTTAATGTGGTTGGACTATGTTTTAAGTACCCCCAGGATAAAACTCTTAATGGTCATCATAAACTGTAATCCAGAGAGATTCTACTCTTAATCCAGGATCGACGTCCAGGAAACTGTTCAGTGCAAGTCGAGTCCAATCCCATTTTATGGGGTGATATCTCTGCTTTTCGGACTTCACTGGAATACAGAAATGTCTGTTAGCAGTAATTATGTGTGGCTCATCACAGTCACTGCATCATCCTGTGTTAAAGTAACATGGTTAATTGAACAGACAGATGGTTGAAAGCAGCCATTTCTTATAACAAGACTAGGTCAAAAGCTACTATATGACTAGACTGCGTATGGTCAATATGCAAAATTGAGGGAAACTGTTGTGGAACTGCTGTAACCGCTGTAACCGCTGTAACCACTGTAACCGCTGTGGAAAGTCGCTAAAGCCTGCTGGAAAAGTCGCTACATGTTGCTAGATGATGCAATAGGCTAATTGCACATTCATGACATCATCCCATTTTGATATATGATAAAATTCCTTTTGGAAGATGAAATTTGGTCTCAGAGTTGAAATTCAATATTAGTTGCTGCTAGTTTGTCTGAGAAGGTGAAGCTGAAAAAATAATAAATACATGATTTGTTGGACAGTTTAACAAAAACGCTGCCTTTGTGGACTCTGTGGGTTTGTTATACATACAGATATACCACCACATTTCAGTAAAAATAAATAAATATATATATAAATGAAAATAAACAGAGGCAGTGCAGTTCTAATTCAATTTCATCTTTAAAAAAAAAACAAAAAAAAACATTACAGACTGGATATCAAGAGTATCTTTTACTACACTAACTACCAATTCCATTTTGTCAGTGAAAAAGTCTGTTTGTGGAGCTTTGAGTTATTTAGTCACAGTACTGTCATGTACAGTTATGTCGAAGTGTAATCACCAGTGCCGAGCTGAGTTGCTGATATTAGCAAGAATGCTGCTGTTCCAATTGCAAATAATCCTCCCATTCTCGGGAGTCTGGACGTCTGAGTTGAACTTGCACCGTTCACTCTCTTTAGTACAGCAGTCTGAGCTTTGCGTATAACATTATACAGGAAGGTCCGTTTGTCACAGCAGTCCAGCTAGGAGATGTGTTGGAGCACCATTTGGTCATGACTGATCTGCTAAGATAACAGAAACTGCTGAATGACCCTCAAAGCAAAACACTCATTTCTAAGGATAGAGTAATTGCAGCAGTAACGCCACAAAAGTGTAGCATTCTGGCATATAAGTACATAAATTCTTGTCCCTTATGGCTATAAAATTGAACAGAAATTGCCTTTTGCATAGTACTGTGCTTACATCTAAGAAGTGAGAAATTGGCATGTTCTCTGAGATTGTGTTGTGGCGAGATGCAAGTGGCTTTTTGTCGCTGAAAGCGGCGAGTACCAAAGGTGATTCTTAGGTCAAGGTGATTTGTCATGCCGAGCAACTTTTCACCTCCAGTTCCGCGGCCGTTCACCAGCCTGACAGCCTTCAGCTATGCCACACTGTTTCCTGGCTCCACTTCATAATTGATGAGGAAGCAGGGAATATGGGATTTGATCCAGAGTGACGGTGCCTTTTAAGTCTAAGACAGATGTATAGAGGTGCTCATTTTAACTCTTCATCTGAAATAGCTATGCCACTGAGGACTGGTGGAAAGCTAGCTCAGTGGCAAGCTAAAAGACAATAATAAACAATTTAGGATGAATGCCTCTTCAGAGATGATACATGGCAGCAGGGTACAGTGGGGAGGATATAGTACTTTAATATGTACATACTATCTGCATTATAGACACATTAAAAACAAGAGTAGGTCAAAATCTAGTATATGCCTGGACTGTGTATGGTCAATGTGTGAAATTGGATGTAGTTGAAAACTGCTGTAGAACCGCTGTAAACAACTACAATTTTCAATGGAAAGAAACAGAAGATGGCTCCAAAAAATTTGCCAAGGTTTACCAAAAAGTTGCTAGATGGTGTAACTTTGTCAGTCAGTCAGTCAGTCAGTAACGTTCGTATTTGGGACTGGCCTCACTGTTGGGGTCGAGCCAACACAATCAATGAGTGTCTCACACACCGGCCAAAGTACATAAGGAATTACTGCGTTTTTTTCTAAAAACATTTGATGTTCTGAATATCCAGTTTATACAATTAACAGTCGCCACAATTTAAAGCTTGTAATATTTTAGGCATTTCTACGAACAAGCAAGTAATAATCTCAAATTAATCACATATTTGTTTGGCCAAAGTAAGAAAATTGTAGTAATGGTTAAATTCAACACTGTACCCAAGTGTATTTAGTTCTGTTCTGGGTTGGTGTTCTGGGTACTTTTATTTAAATGTAAAAAATACCTGTCAATGTGGTCAAATCCCTATAGTTCTTATATAATGCACTTACCTAAATTCACAATCTACCCAGTAAACCTCCAACATAAGAATGATTAATGTTCTTTCTCAAACTGAGCATATTTCATTTTTTTTTTTTTGCCCTCTCACTCTTGTTCCTACTTTCTTTCTTCTTTCCTCTTCAGACATTCTGTCTCCCCTATTGAACTGAAAGCCATAGCAGGTTTCAAGCTAAAAAGCAGATTAAAAGGAATCAGATCGCTGCCAAACTCTGAAGACATTTTTAAAACTGCTGTTTGAACTTGTGAAAAAGTACAGTTTTATATAATTTGTGTCTAACTGCAGGTGAAGAATATTGATTTTGGTAGGGTCAGAATCTGGGTCAGACTGAATCTGTCATTATGATTTAAATGAATGAAATTAGTAGGTGAATAAGCACTGCAAAATACCTGATTACAGTCTCTATTTTTAAATGTTTGTCTATATGGTTTTAATGTTTTCAAGAAATTAGTAGTAAGTAGTATTTTCTCCCATGATTGCTAATTATTCCCTGTTCATAAACATCCTACTAGGTAATATAAAGTGTAAACTGTAACCAAATCAAATGTAATACATGTTGATGATGGATTTAACTGGGGAAGAAAACAAAGAGTTTTTTAAAGTTTGTTGAACTAAGCTTTCTAAGCCCTCGCCCTCCACCATTTTGTCCAGTGTTTTTCAGGACACTTTGCATTAAACTTAAAAGAGAATTAAATGTTGAAATTTAAATGCAAATAACTCTGGCAACTAGTTTTATTATTTATGCCAGTTTTTGCATCCATTTCATAAAGTGAAGCAATGCAGTGTGCCACCAATAGCAAACAGCTTTGGTTACATAATTCTTTCAGTTTAAACATCCATTGCATAACTTTCTGTGTTTAACATGGAATTAGAAAACATATCCACTAAGCCTTTAAAAACACATTTTAATCTCCAGTGTTTGCAAATGCCTCGAAAACATATTTATTTATCAGAAACTTATCAACCAATTTCCCAATCCAAACCATAAACAACAACACCAGTACAGAAAAACAATGTTGTCAAAATTATCAAATTAACTGTCAGCATGGAAAATGTCATACATTTTCCTGATACATTGTTATAAAATCAAAAGAAATGAGAATAGAAAAGAGAGACACTCCAAACACAACCACATGAGAAATCTCGGGGGAAATGTGCTTTAATCTTTCCTCTTTGGCAAAGCTTTGCTCTCTGCGGGCGATTCTACTGAAATGTGGAACATACAGTGTACTGTGTGCAGCACCACCCTTATGAAAAAATGCCTCACAATGGGCACCACACCGAGAGATAAAGTGCATAAAAAAAACAATGCATGTTCTTTATTTCTGATCTTTTAATAAGTAATTCACCTGCAATCTAATTCAGTATGATGTTAAGACCACATAAGGGGTTTGATAGAATTGAGAGCGTATAAAAGTATGAACACTGCAGTTAAATCAAAAAGGTGTGGATGGACAGACCATTGGTACTGTGTGTATACTTTGGGTACAGTATGTACAGCAGACAGACAAAACAGATGTGAATGACTGAATATTTTCTTTAAACCATGTATCTCTTGTGTGTAAGTTAACATCCATTACACCAAACTATTTATGGCCTCAAGAAGACAACCCAGTTTTATAGGATAGACATATGCATTTGCGGGAAGTTGCTGGATATTTTCAATGCTTTTATCTCAAAGCAAAATACAATGCTGCTCAATAGCACAGACTCACTTAAGAGCCAAGCAACATAATAACAGTCAAAACTAGCTATGAGAAGAAAATTAAACTCACCTTGGCGACCCTGTTGGCAACCTCCCGACCCACCATTAGCCCCTGGACAAACGTCCGTGCAGCGATGAAGGCCCTGGTGACCTGGGCCTTGAGTTTCCTGGGCACATCCCCAAAGGGCTTTAGCTGGTCTGTGTATTTGCTGGCACACTCCAGGTAGTCGTCTGTGAAGTGGTACTGCGAGTTGAGTAACTGGAACATGCGCTCCAGAAGCCTGGACCAGAAATCATTCAGCATCTCTTCCAGGTTGACGTTGCCCCCAGTGTAGTAGCGCTTTAGCTCAGTGAACAGGTCCTGGAACACCTCTGAGTTCTGCATATACAGCTTCCCGTATGTCCGTGTGAACATACTGTTCAGAGACTTCTCAGAATTGTCCAGCAGCTCCAAGAAAAACTCTAGATGGATAGATGGTTTGGGAGAGGAGGGAGGGATAGAAAGGACACACAGTCTGGGTCATTATACAGACATTTACAGTATCTGATGTCTTGTCCTACAACATAAACCAGACAAATGGCTTCAAAAGCACAAGAGCAAGAGTATAATTTACTGAAGTACTGTTGTTGTCTGTAAATTAATTTAATGTCTTATTTTATGGCTCTATCTGCATGTACAGGAACAATGTATAGCCAACAATAGGTAGTTGATTATGTGAAGAAAGTCAGTCCAGAGCATTAATAATTTAATAGCAGAAATAATGGGCCACAAGGACTATGAATGATTAATGTAAAGGTTCTGATTGCACACTGTAACAAAATATTCATAAGTTTTAGACACAGACACTAGTATACATTATCATCCTGAGCACCCACCATTATTCCCAGATGCATTAGTTTCTCACTGAAACAATTTATTTGTCCACCAAGGCAGCTGGCCTGCGAGCCTATAATTGAATATTGTGTTACAGTATATTGAAAGACGCTTCATTCGCTTTGAATTATCTAAGAGTACCTTAAACGTAAGGTACAAAATTTCACCATCAGATGTGAACATCTGTTCTATTTTTATTATCATATTTGCCATTGATTCAGTACACAAACCCTACACTGCATCACATTGCCATTTGAAAATAAACCATTATAACAAATGTTTTTTAACATCCCTTAAAGCTGAGCTAAATTTTAATTTTTGTTTAATTCTGCAGTTATTGTGCATACTTTTTCATTTTTCAATTTTTCAAAAGAAGATAAAAACCCCCGTTTAAAACCTTTTTTGTGAAAACAGTGTCTAAGCTTCAAGCCTCTAGATGGGCTTTTTCCCATGGTAAGGGTTGACTGACATTTGAGAGCCGGATTACTAGGAAACACACTCAACTTCTGTGGTGGTGATTACTGACTGTGGAAAATCAGACAAGTCATTTAGTCCCCTTTTTTCAACAACCCCACTTTGTGTTGCTCATGTACAGTTAGCGTTTGAAGATGTCTGTGTATTTACAACTTGCAGCATTTGGGAAGACCCTGTTAAGTTCTACGTGTTAGCAAACTAGTCTAGAGACTTCATACTAGTTCAAGCTAGCCTAGCCTAGTTTGCTAACTTTTGCAACGCTTCCTACTGGTTTTTTCTTTTCATTCATGTTGGGTCAGCCGCAATACCCAGATTGTGTGTGACACACTGCAAGTCCAAGCACACAAGCATGTGGAAGTTTACCAGAGCTTACTGGAACATGGTTGATTTATAAGGACAGCTCGTCACTCATCCAGATATGAATAGTGCACATGGCTGAATCAAGTTCAGATGATTTGTTGGAACAAGCAGAAGTAGAATCAATCATTCAGTACAAAAGTGACAATCAGATGACAGTAAAAACAAAGTCAGGAGCTGAGAAGTAATACAATTAATAAAGAAATTAAATTGAGTTATCTATAAGCACCTATGGTTACTGTGAAGATTTATGTTGACACTGTCCAATATGACATTAGTCTTACCAGTCTAATCAAGAACAACAGATTGTTAATATTATGTGATAACCAGCTGTAGAGATTCTTTCATAACCTTGTAGTGTTTGGACATGAATAATATCTCCAACATGTCATAAACCTTTCTATGTCTGTTCATTAATATCAGTCCTATAATCAGCTTATACATGCATTACTGCCTACTACTGGATTGGTGTGGACACAGCAGACTGAATTGTGGGATACACTTCACCACAAAGGGTATGGAGGCCATATTAGGAAAAGTGCAAGTTTAGGTATGTGTTGATATTTTTCCACTCTCAGACACACTTGTTGTGCACTCGTCGTAAGGGCTCAAGTCTGCAAATGACAGACCTCTTATGTCAACACCTGCTGAGTGATCAACAGCTCCTCAGTGTTGTGTTTGTCCCATATTATACAAAGGATCAGGGATCTAAGCAGCGCTATCCATCTTTCTTAAGTCCAGATGTGGCGATGGTAAATAAATCGACTGTGAAGACTAACCGCAACGAGTTGTCCTGTGACCTCAGCACTCATTACACTATGATTACAGTCCCAACATTGTCAGCTGGAACCAAAAAAATCCTCCTTCCTTAAGAAAGTACGCCATCACTGCACAAAGATGAAATACAAATGAACACCAGTGATGATTTCTTAGCAAAAATGAATTTTAACTTTAATTCTTCTTTTATTAAGTGCTGTTTTGCATTGTTAATTACTTCAAACATAGACATCAAAATCCAAGTGCGACAACATAATTCAAATTTAACATTCAAAGCAATTATATTATTGTTTCTTTGTCATCTGCCCAAGTGGCTTTCTTCCATGTCTGAACCTGATCTCTTGAGCATTAACTCAGCCAACATAGAGAAAATCAGAGAGGGAGAGAAAAGCAGCATTAGCTGGGGAGTCTCACTGAAGCCTAGCTAATAGGCTCCCGTGTTCCTGAGTGCACAGGCGTAAATGTTGGGAAGATCATAACACATCTCTCCATGCACAAATGTCAAATATTCCTTCACCCTTCTTTGTAAACAAACACGCTGCATACATTTCACGTGTCGTGGTTTTCTAATAAAGTGTTATTCGAGGGCTCTTCTCCTGGTTGGGTATCCTGACTGGCTGACAGTTCTTTGCATTGTTAATGACAGCGGTCACAGACAGTAGCCATATCTTGTTCTAATAACAGCTTTCCCTTCTGTGATAATATAACTAACCCATAAGGCAGGATGAGTCGTTTCACATGTAGCAAGCAGAGCTGTAGTGTGTACGATCAAGGAAAAACTAAGAAATGTTTGACAAATTCAAAACATAAAAATACATAAAAAAGACAAAAAATTGGATGTCACATCCCAAGAAAATTAAGATAGACATTTTAACACTATTTTCATATTTAATTTAGATTCAGTTGGAGTTTTGCTTAAGGACAAAGTGCAAAATTCCAGTTAATTCATGATTAAAACAACAATATTGAGTAGTTAAATTATTTCTTTTAATTGTATTTTAATATTCTTTTATGCTCTTGTATTGCTGTTGGGTTGGAGAGTCAAACTGTGAATAGTTTGACATCTCTGAGACTAAAATCCCGGTCCCTGGCAGGATAATCCACTATTCTGCAAAGTGCGCAGACCACCAGTGTGAGTGCTTAAGAAACTCACTGTATTATAGTATATCTGCATGTTCTCTGGTTCAATATGCTGATGTTACCATAAGGTTTGCTTGCCCATCACTTCTAAGATTGGTGGAAGTTACAGTGGATGTTTTCTGGGACTCCTTTGACCAGCTTTGTGTTCCTCACCTTTCTTGGACCTTGTTTAGCGAAACCTCTTCTCTTTCTATTGAAATAGCACAGCATGTCCACACCTAAAACACCTAGGAGACCAATCCCTAGTCACTCATTCTAGTTTCTTTGCAGCTGAATGACCTGCCATTACACCAACATTTGTTTAAATATTAAGAGCCTGTAGGGCCTTTTTCATTCCATTTTTTCAATTAGACCTGAATCAAGGACACGTAAGCCCCTGTGTATTGTGCATGCAAAACTGTATCTGTGTTACTATTTAAACTGTTCACAAGATGGGTAATATAAGGCAACACAAAAGCATAGACAACATTATTTATATGAGTGTTATTAGTTTATCTATTTTGTATTATTTATTTATCAGTATCATTTCTGAGAATACTAATCTTGCTTATATACTTTTATTCATGCTACTTGACATTGCAGGATCCTGGGAAGGCTGTATGTGTTCACACAGCAGTAGCCTACTGTAGCAGATGAAGTAAACAGATTCAGAAATCCATCTTGACCATCACATGATCAGCTTTAAAATTTCAGCGCTGAAAAGAATGCACTTACGGTCCTGAAGTACTGAAAATAAATGAAATATTTTCTTTTTAATATACACACACCAGTAAGGGAGTTGCAATCTGTCCCTTATACTTACTCTTCACTTGCATAAAATAACGCCCCCCCCCCCATATGTCTATGGAATAGGTTAAAAAAAAAAGAAAAAAAAAAGATTGGGACAGTTTTTCATGGCTGCATAGTTCATAAAAAATGATCAAGTTAATTACAATTATTCCCATGAAAGAAATTAACTACTAAAATAAGAAAGACCGGCACTGTGCTGCGAAGACAAGTCTGAACCTACAAAATGAATTAAGTTTTACACAGGCAAATGGAGTCCCAGGAAATGACATTAGTGGTCATTAAGAACTGATCACATACTATTCTGTGCAGTAGTGTAAAGTTAAGCGAAAATACTGTCGAAGCCTGCTAATAGATTATAATTAGATAATATAACCTAATAATATAACCTGTCGATTGGACTACATAAATGGCTTTGGTAATGTTTTACTTCTAGGCAGGTACAAGTCAGTGCTGACTGACACCAGATAAAGGCATTCAGGGTTTCTGTGCTGTTGGAATGTGGTTATTGATTTCCCAATCAAAATGAGGTTACTGACTTCAGTTGTCCTCTGCTATTCAGGCCTTTATGGACTTAAAACTGTTGCACTAAAATCCTGAAACATATGGAGTGCCAGCATTTTGCATCCATATTGCACTATGATAGATCTCCGTAACAATGTGCAAGTTTGCACTTCACTGTTGAGAAAGTCTTCCTTAGCCCCATCATCTTTTAATATTTTTACAAACAAGTCTCATTTTAAAAGGTTGACATAAACATAATTGCAAGTACAAATCAGTACTGACCAAAGTTATACAATCTGAACCCAAGAGTTTTTAGTAATAGTATTCTGAAGTAATCAGCACCCTTCTCTTGCATAACTGTCGAGTTTTTATTTGATTTCAAGGCCTGTTACCTGGAAAACAGACTGTAGTGAGGGTTTCAGATAGCAGCAACAGCTTGCCAACTCATGAAGAATGAATTGCTCTCTACTGGCCAAAATACATATTTGGCCTGGGAATTACCATTGAGAGTTATTGACCTTGGATAACATTCAGCTCTCCAGCCTTTGGG